CTCAACTTTTTTTTTTTTTTTTTTGAAGCTCTTACAACGAGAAAATGGAGGGGACACATCTGGGTGGGAGGGGGGAGAGGGAGGAGGGAGGGAGGTTTTGGTGATGGGACAAAATAACTAACTACATTGTATATTGATAAAATAAAAAAAAATGGTGGTCATGGGCATGGTTTGGAGGGCTTTAAAAGGGGAGCACGAAGGGTCTGTGTCTTTCTCTGCTCTCTCCTTCCACCATCTTGCAAAATGAGACCCCTGGGTCACTCTTGCCACCACCAAATGGACTTTGGATTTCCCAACCTCAGAAATTGTAAGCAACAAATTTTGTTTTCTTTTTAAACCACCCAGTTCCATGTACTTTGTTGTAATCAACAGAAATTGACAAAAACAACTTTCTTTAGGATAATATCCTGGACTATCCCAATTTTAGTTAGATGATCTTATTTTTGATTCCAAAAATTCTAATATAAATCCATTGTACCATATGTGTATTTTTGTATTTTTTTATTTATTTGTTTATATCACTTAAAAGATCATGCCTATACCCATAATGTTAGAGTGTAGTGTTATAATACCAAGGTCAAGAGTTTGGATCTCTGTACTGGCCAGCCTGGCCAGCCACACACACACACACACACACACACACACACACACACACACACACAAAAAAAAAAAAAAAAAAAACAGAAAGAAAAAGAAAGATGGAAAATAGAAAGTAAAACAGAAGATTGATGAGATCAATTTCAGATAGCAATTTTTTGTTCTTTTGTTTTATGTGTGTGGGTAGGGATTTGGTGTGGAAAGTGAAAGGAGTGCAAATGAAAAACGAAGAAAACTGTGCATGTTCTAGTCCATATGTTGGGTAATAGGCAGAATAGTATTCCATAGTGTATATATACCACAGTTGCCTTATCCAATCATCTATTGATGGACATTTAGGTTGGTTCCATATCTTGGCTATTGTAAAAACAGTTGTGATGAACATGGGAGTTCAGGTATCTCTTCGACATGAAAATTTCCATTCCTCTGGATATATACCCAGAAGAGGGATTGCCGGATCGTATGGAAGATCTATCTGTCATTGTCTGAGAAACCTCCATACTGTTTTCCATAGTTTTTTTTACTAATACACAGTCCCACTAACAGTGCAGTAGTGTTCCCTTCTCTCCACACCCTTGCCAGCATTTGTTATTCACTATCCTTTTGATCATAGCCAGGCTAACTGTAGTGAGGTAGTATCTCAATGTGGTTTTAATTTGCATTTCCCTGATGACTAGTGAAGTTGAACATTTTTTTCATGTATCTATTGGCCATTTGTATATCTTCCTTTGAAAAATGTCTATTCAGCTCCTTTGCCCATTTTTTAATTGGGTCATTTGTTTTTTTATTATGTAATTGCTTGCATTCTATGTATATTCTGGATATTAATCCCTTGTCAGATGCATAGTTAGCTAAAATTTTCTCCCACTCTGTAGGTTGTCTTTTCACTCTGTTGATTGTCTCTTTTGCTGTGCAGAAGAATTTTAGTTTGACATAGTCCCACTCATTTATTTTTTCTTTTTCTGCTTGTGCTTTCAGGCTCATGTTCATAAAGCCCATGCCCTGACCTAACTGCCAAAGTGTTTCATCTATATTTTCCCTTAGCAATTTTACAGTTTCAGGTCTTATACCTAGGTCTTTAATTCATTTTGAGTTGGTTTTAGTGTATGGTGACAGCTGTATATGTAGTTTCATTCTTGTGCATATGGATATCCAGTTTTCCCAGCACTACTTGTAGAAGAGGCAATCTTTTTCCTAATGTAAATTTTTGTTGCCTTTGTCTAATATTAGATGGCTATAAGCCTGAGGAGTGATTTCTGGGTTCTCTATTCTACTCCACTGTTCTGAACATCTATTTTTATACCAGCACCACGCTGTTTTGGTTAGAACAGCTTTGTAGTATAATTTGAAGGCAGGCAGAGTTATGCCTCCAGCTTTATTTTTTTGCTCAGGATTGCTTTGGCTATTAAGGGTCTTTTGTTTTTCCATATGAAAGTTAAGATGTTTTTTTTTTTCCATTTCTGTGAAGAATGTCACTGGTATTTTAATGGGGTTTATATTGAATCTGTAGATACTAGCTATTTCTTTTAAAATCTGCCCTGTCAATTTTAGTAGCTTTTTGTTTCTATGTGAATTTTTAAATTATGTCCTTATTTCCTTAAACATATTAAGCATAGTTATTTTATAGTCCTTGTCTGATAATTCCAACATCTATAGATTTGAAAAACACTTGACTCTTTGCCCATGGTGATTTCTTGAGTGTGTGTGTGTGTTTGGATTTATGTTATTACTGTTATTGTTCTATGAACTCAAGTTCTTTTAAATTTTATCTTTGGAAATTTATTGAGACTTGCAATATTTTTATTTACTAGCTTCTAATCTGTGCTAAAGTATCTGGATTACTGTGGTATTTTCCTTTTAAAATTTTTGAAGGTGGCTGCCATCATTTATATAAAGGCAGATTTTTGTATCCAGAGTGTTGTTAAATTCTAACATCTTAGAAATTCCTAAGTTGTTTACATGTTTTCAGTTTCTCACCTCTTTCATGTCTTCATACAAAATAAACAGCACATGTGGATTGTTTCTCTCTTCCCACCAAGATATTACATGTTTAAACCAGGAGCCGTAAGGGACTGAAATTAGAGAGAAAAACAATGTAAATGCATGTTCAAACAACAATAGCAATAAATAAGTATAAATAAAGATCATGAAATGAGAACTAATAGATTAGCCTAACATCTTAAGCAAATTTCTCTGTAACAAGAGAGCCAAAGTACATTGAATAATCCATTCACAGACATACATTGTCAACTTTTATCATTATGACATGCTCTATGACACAGAAAAAAGTGAGAGAAGTCCTCCTCTCATCAATTTGATTCAGAGTTTATACGAACATTTTTGAAACGTGTGTGTGTGTGTGTGTGCGTGTGTGTGTGTGAAATCAGACTGTTAGAGAAGAGAGTCGAATTAGTGAAACAATCAATAGTCTTATAGTCAGAAGAGTTCAGTCCAGATGTCAAATTTACCATTAACTAGCTTTGGCATCTGAAGCTAATAACTATGAGTATTTATCATACTACTAATAGTTTAGATGATAAGGGGTGTTTTCTTAAGGACCTTTAGTGTCATTCTCACTCCAGAAAATTAAAAGATTTTGAAGATACTGTGATACAATGCAATGGTGTCTCTTCCCTTCTCTTTCCAATCTCTTACCCATATACAAGTATTTTATACAGTTAAAAGCTGACAAAATAATATAATGGTGTGTGAGTTGAAATGTTCAGTTTTGCATTGTCATAGTATACTTTCTCTGTTCTTTGACTCTATTAGGCAATATTTCTTTACAGAAAAAGTTTTAAATAGTATTCATAATGATCTTATTCATCCCTTTTGAACAAATGCAACATTATTTTTCTCTGCCCTACAATGTGGGTCTTGACAATCTCAAGGCACATGTTTTATTCACAATGCTCCAGCATTCTGTTTTCCAAAATGTAGCCTTGAACCCAAAACACACATATATCTTATTTTTGTTATCTTCTATGGATATAAATATGACATTATTATTTTTCTTTACAATTATTACTACAGGAGCAGATTGGCTTCCTTTAGTACTAAGCTACCCTGCATACTTTTTCCTTAAATCTAAACATTGAGTTGCTTTAGACTAAGTGTTTATTTAAAAAGTATATCTGCTTGAGTAACTCTGTACTTGTCTGATAAATCTGATTGAAATATTCAGATTGTGCACTGGGTAGAATGAGCAAAAGTTTTGTAGATATTCAGACTTCTTTGTAAATTCTGGCTCCATTTAGTACCAGGCATTTTTCTTGGAAACAAATGGGCATTCCCTCTCCTCTCTTCTCTCCCCCATGCCTTGTTCAATGGAGTTGTAATAACACATTGTGAAATATTTTTCTAATACAAAGAGACAAAGCAGATATTTGGACAATGAGTCTCAATATTAGGAAAAATTGCCACCTCCAACACCTGAATACACTTCTATATATTTGTTTTTAGGCATTGGACAAGATTCCACAATTTGCCATTCACATCTGGAAACCCTGTGTTTGCTGTCAACCTCAAGGGCTTTTAGAACGTCTGTATCCTGACTAAGGATCAGGAAAGGCAACACACCAGAAAAGATAAAAATTTTTGCTTGGAGATGTTATTTGTATCACTTGCCCTGAAAAATTGAGAGCACAGAATATGTTCCTACCTTCTCCATGCATGAATTCCTCCACAAACTCTGGAAAAGATCCAGGATCTGGATAAGAATTTATCATTTGAAAGAAATAATAATTAGAAACGGCCACATCCTTGGCATTTCGGCAAATGTAGACAATCTAAGAGGATGAAATCGTATGTTAAATTACTTAATATTTTTTCAAACATAGTCTCATCAAGATTTAAAAAAGAAAGCATTTATGTTTTCAACTAAAAACATAATATATGTTCATTACAAAAAATGTATAAAATATATAAAATTATAAAAATAACCCCTTCAGTAACCTGAGGTGACAGCAGCATTTTTAGTGCTGTTCAATGTTTGTTCTCACTTTCTGTTTATAGGTGATTTTCACATGTAATGCCTCATTTGGGTGTCACAAATTCTATCACCATAAATTGTGCTGGTTAGATTATTATTATCCCCAATTTGTAAGTAAAGACAGTACGTTGAAATTGAATGAGAATATATCATTGATAGTAAATCAATAAGAGTAAAGAATTTGGTAAATCACTCAGTCAACAGTGCAGTCCTCTGGTCTTTATACTCTACAAACCACCATTCTGCATCCTGAAGAAAAAAAGTGTCCCGCTGTTTCCTCACTTGCAATATTGAAGGGGGGCGGGGAACAAAAAACAAATGTAGCTTAGATGCACATTAATTTTAGTGAAAATATAATCTCCCCCAACATCTTGTTGAATTTCTATTTTATATATAGAAGAAACACCAGTGAATTAGTAATCAGGAAGTTTTTATTTGCTAGTTCTGGCACTAAGAAGTTCTATCCTCTTACAAAAAGCCTCAATCATTTTGGACATAAATTTTCTCTCCACAAGTGAGTTATGTCAGATAGGCACAGGGTCCTCTAGGTATGATACTCAATGCTGCAGGAAAAGATCTGTAAAAGTAAACTCCAGTTTCCTTAAATAAGAAATTGCCATTTGAAAGAAATAATAATAAGAAACAGCCACATCCTTGGCATTTCGATTTTCCATTAAGATCTTCCATTTCTGTCCTCAGGCAGATAAGCTATGCCATCAAAGAAGGCTGCTTTTGACCTTCCACTGTTTTCTGGATATGATTACGCTCATTAACTCATTTTTTTGTTTTCAAACAATTTTTTTTAATCTTCTAGTTTATTCTTAGAAATATGGCATTCATTTTTAAGGTGCTGCCATAAAAACCTCCACTTATTATAGCAAAAAAAGTGAACTTTCTTTTCATTTCGAAGTTATCATTAGCCATATTGAAATTTTCTAATCACATTTATGACTCTCCCTAGTTCTTTTCACCTGTTAGCTGAAAGAAAACTTTTGCCACTATATCCATGAATTTACTTAAAAATTTTTACCCCTTGCTTTTCTTCTTGCTATTCATACTCTTTCTTGAATGTTCTCTGCATCTCAAAATGATAAATATATTAAAGCTTAGCTCCAGGTCCTCCATGACGCTTTTTTCTCCCTGATAGAAAAAAGAAATGATCTCTCTTTCCCTAAACTCTCATTAGTTTATATTATCTCTCTTTTTGCAAATCTTATTCAATACCTTATACTTTTCAGTGCAAATGTTCTTCTTCTTTCTACATTGGAGGAAAATCTAGCTCCTTCCTGAAGATATAACTTTTTCTGCACCACTCTTCAGTAAAAGTTAAGAGTTTGGTCACAACTCACCTGGAATCTTAATATATCTTTAAAATCCTGCAACTGAAAGATTCCTGTTCCTGTGATACTCATCTGATCCATATCTTTCCCATCTGATGCCATTTCTGAGCTTGGGATCATTTTCTTGCTGTAACTGAAGATTTGAACATCTACCTCATAGTATTACTCTCCATTCCAAACCCTTTTATCATTCTGTGCAGTTTTAGTACCTGTATGTATGATCTCTGTGATTCTCTAAGTTCATGTATTCATTGATCATTACTTTAGTTTTACTTTAGCCAACCGCTTTCATGCCCAAATCCTGAATGTTGTCATCACCCTAAAGGTTTCACTCATGAAGCCTTATTTTGGGCCATAACGCTTTCTTCCAAGAAAGTCCTGCTTCTCCCTTCTTCCCTATCAGTTATTCAATATACCTCTTCTACAACCACATCAAGGCCACAAATCCATTGCCCTTGATTATTTCTCTCATCTATCAGCCAGTCTTTTTTTTTTTTTTATCATTTTCTTCTCTTTATCACTCGCAGTTTCTGGTCTACCACCTTCAAACACTTTTACAGTATTTTCAACCTATCTGTCTTCTTGTCACCCAGGTAAACACCCTGGAAATACTCCAAACATGAATTTATCCGACTGTCTTTTACTCTTTGATGACCTCTGAGTTATAAGCAGATTTGTGAAAACTGAGACTATAATACGTATGTGGTGCCTAAAGTAAAGAGTTAAAAGCAAGCCTACAACACATTCTCCAAATGAAAAAAGATTTGGTCAAATCTCTTGAAGAAATGGTAATGACGTTTGTCCTGGCAAAGATGTAACTGGTATTTACTTATGAGGAAGCCCTTATTGTTTGCATTGATTTCAGCAGGATGCATATGGTCTATCTGAAATTGTTTGTGATAGAAACAGATGATGAAGTCTCTGGAATTTGGGGCCATGTCAAATATGCTTTGTAACATCAGAGTACAAAATGGAAATGTTTCATGACTGTGATAGATCCCCCTTTCTATTAGCAATGACTGCATACTCTACTTTTAATATCTCATGTGTTTAGCATGGGTCATATGGTATCCTAATAAAGCTAGGAAGGCTTTGTGGAACAGTATCAGTGATCCCAACACTTCATGTCTTGCCTGTTCTTTGAGGTTATACATAACATTATTTCTAGAAAGCAAAACTGATCATGCAATTCATCAGCTTAATAGATCTACAACTCCTTATTACTATTGAAGTAGAGTCCAAACTTCTTAACTTGGTTTCTAGCACGTCTTATAATCAAGTCCTAGCTTATCAATCTTCACTCATCCAGCCAGCCAAACTGAACTTGTTTTAGATCTCCCCTTGGGTTGCCTTTGAGTTTACATAGACTAACTCCTATGCATTGTTCAAATATTAGCTGAGATGTTACTCACTCCTAGATGCCTTTCCTGCCCCCAGTGTCTGTGTTAAAATTCTTCTCTTGCTTGACATATGGTACCACCTGCATTGTCTGTTTACTTATCTCTTTCCTACAATGGACTGTGTATTCATGAAAACAAGAACTGCATCTGTTTTATTGTTAGGTTCCAAGCACATGACATGTACTCAATAAACAATTATTATACGATATTTGTCTGGTTTATTGTTTTTAGATCATTTTTATCTCTCACAGTGTAGAGTACAATTTTTTGAAAAAGGAGAATATTTAATATGATCAATAATAACAACAAATACAAAAATATCTACTATTTACTGTTTAAAATATGCTAGGCACTATGTCAAGCACTTTACAAATATTATTTCATTTAATTCTTATAACAACTCTATGAGAAAAATACTATTACTATCCTTCTTTTACAGATGATGCTTACAGAATTTAACTGTTTTTTTCCAGAGTTACTTCTGGCAAATGGCAGAGTTGGAATTGAAATCTAGATTTTCTTATGATACTGATTACAATCCACATTTATTGAATGTCTATAGATTTAATGAAAGAATAAATAAGCAAGTATGTATAAGATGTATCTGAATTGATCATTCTAAAATTTCTTTGAGGTGAATAAAGTTCTGAGAACGCTTGATTCTGATTACCTTACAGTTTTTTTCCCAAAACGAGGCTGGAAGAAGTTCACGTGGCAGATGAGTCTTCAATATTCTAGGAGATGCCATCTCATTTAATTGTTTTACTCCTGATTTTTAAAAAATTAAAGGTTGGACAATTTCAAAAATTATATATACTTATATGGATTTGTATAGACAAATAAATTATATATACTTATATGGATTTGTATAGAATCATAAAGTTTTTTAAGATTCTATATTGTGTTCGTAATAATAACACAAACCTACAATGAAAGAAATGTAGATAGGAGAACTTACAAAGGGAAAAAATAAGATCAAATAAGATTTCACCTGGGAGAAATCATTGTTAACATTTTGGTAAGCAAATTTCCTCGTAAATATATGTACATGCTCAGACTCACAGCCATCTTAATACTACACACACAGATGGAAATTTTGATATCTTCGAATTGACTTTTCTACTCAGTATATTATATGCAAACTGCAAAGTCAAACACGTCCAAAAATCTTTAATGATTTTATAGTGTTATGCCACTTTTAAGTCTTCTTTTGCTGATTAACATTTGTTTCTAATTTTCCACAGTATATAAAGAACCTGTGATGATTTGCATATGCTCTTGAAATTTTTATGGGTATTTTCTCAGTATTTAGAGTATCACATTCAGACCACAGAGAAATAAATGCTCACATATTGGTAGGCACTGCTAAAAGCATGTAATAATTGTCCTTAATTGCTTTATTCTAGACACATGCTATACTATAAACCCTGCCAAAATTTAATTTTAAATATATATGCTCTCCTGTGTAGAATATTTAATACTAATCATTACTCTTGCTTACAATATCTTTGCTTGCACCATATATATTCACACCTTAGAATATATGCATATTGCTTTTAAAATCAATTTGAACATTACCATTCAAAAACGTTTCTTTTCTGCATTCCAGGAAAGGTATTCGATTAAAAATTACATCTTCATTGCACTTTTCCACATCACCATCTTTACAGATCAGGTATATAATTTCACTAGCCCACGTAGTACCTGTAAAAATTAAACAAACCTGAATTTCCCACTGACCACTCAGGGCTGATGATGAGAGTGCTGGATTTATGGATGGACAAAATAGGAAGATAACCATGCAATATTATTTCAAGGGCGTCTGAATAGCCATAAGTCTCAAAATATACTTCCTTTAATATTTTATCTTATAGGACCAAAGCATGGAATTAATAAATAAGGACAAATATTATAGTAAGGCACACCTAGGAGATGTGTCCCATTTGCCCATAATTAATTGTGACATTCCGCAAGCTGATAACAGTTTTGGACTTCAATTTTTACATCTAAAAAGTAAGGAGGCTTGAATAACAGGTAATGCATGCAAGCATGCTTTCAACCACAAACTTTACTGATAACTGAATATTCTGCAGGTTGGATCCTACTTCAGAGAATGTAGAAAAGGATAAATCTGTTACATGTTCTATGGTTACCGAAGGCCCTTTGAAGAGTCAGAGACATTTTACACTTCTTTTTTCTTTAGATGCTATAATATAGGTGAGCACAAGGATTTAAATTATTGCAAAGCAGGAATATATAACTCAGTGTGCTGCTGCTTCTGTTGCTGGTGCTGTCATGAAGCTTTAACAAGAAATGCTTTCAAGAGGATGTGATAATTGAACTTAGCCTTAATAATTTACTCATATAAATTCATCAGTTGTGGGAGGTACAGAAAAGTCCTACCAGGCAGAAGAATAGTCTCTCACTCTCTTTTTTAAATAAAAGGTTGGATACTTCAGAATGGTATAGAGATGAGGAAAAAAATTGGAAGTAGACTGTAAAACCTAAATCAAAAAGTCTACTTGAATAGATGAGTGGGGCCAGGACTACAAAAAGGCAAGCAGATGGCAAGCATAAAATGTCTTGCAGTTCACGCTAAAGAGCCTGTGTTTTTAGAAACACTGTGAATAAGCATTGGCATTTCTTAAGCAAGAGAGCAAGAGAAGCAGGATTGTGCTTTAGAAGAATTCCTCTAGTGGCATTATAAACATAGCAATGGAGCAAGGCATCAATAAGAAGAGAAACAAGAGACCCTGTAAGAGGTTGACTGTGACACATATCTATGAGGCTAAATGCACAAAATATTTTGATTGTTTGCATATGGGCAATGAAGAAGCAAGAGGAATTGAGTCTAGAGTAGCTCTCAGTTTTCCTCTTCAGATGACTGGTATTATGCTGCCTTTGGTCAAGACAGGAAAGAACAATGGGAGAACAATTTTAGAGTCAGAGTAGCCAAAGTTGCTACTTGACATATTTATTTTTATATACTACATGCAACAACCAGAAAGAGAAGTCTGGACTGGACTGTCCTAATTTCTAAAGATCTATGATTTTAAGACTCAAGAACCATGCTTAACAGTTGAGGTAATCTCAAAAAAAAAAAAAAAAAAAAAAGACTTTGTTTAAAAAAAAGTTTTTTGGATAGACTTAAAGAAGAGGAACTGGTTAGCTGAAAGAGTTTTAAAAGATTTGTAAAAAGTGCTTATTTTCTGTATATAACAACATTAATGCATAAGGTAAACATAGTTGGTAGTTTGAAATTTTTGTTATGGGATAGATATAGATTCGTCCATCTGTATTACAGAAGTTTCTAACGTGGTTAACAACATTTTCCAATGTAATGTTGAAGTTATAGGAACAAATTGTTGTCACGGAATAGAGGTATAATATATTACTTTTTCTATATATCAAAACTATTACATCTTTCCTTATTTATTATTTTTTTGTATATGCTGTTGAATTCAATCTCCTATTATTTATTTTTTTATTTTTATTTATTTTTTTTTATTATTTTTATTTTGTCAATATACAATGTAGTTGATTATTGTGTCCCATCACCAAAACCTCCCTCCCTCCTCCCTCTCCCCCCTCCCACCCAGGTGTGTCCCCTCCATTTTCTTGTTGTAAGAACTTCAAAAAAAAAAATTGTGATATGAAAAAATGCTCAACATCACTCAGCATCCAGGAAATGCAAATCAAAACCACACTGATACCATCTCACCCCAGTTAGGATGGCTAAAATCCAAAAGACGCTGAACAATAAATGCTGGCGTGGTTGCGGAGAAAAAGGAACTCTCATACATTGTTGGTGGGAATGCAAAATGGTGCAACCCCTATGGAAAATGGTTTGGAGGTTCCTCAAACAGCTGAAGATAGATCTACCATACGACCCAGCTATCCCACTGCTGGGAATATATCCAAAGGAATGGAAATCATCAAGTCGAAGGTATACTTGTTTCCCAATGTTCATTGCAGCACTCTTCACAATAGCCAAGAGCTGGAATCAGCCCAAATGTCCATCATCGGATGAGTGGATACAGAAAATGTGGTATATCTACACAATGGAATACTACTCAGCTATAAAAACATCTTTCCTTATTTAATATGGAGATCGTATATATGAAAAATGAGCAGCTTAATATTTACCATTCAAGGTGGGCTTATCATTTCTAGGTGAAAAGGAACAACTTCTACTCAATAAGGAGACTTACCAGATCTAGGATAGGTGACAATGACAATATCATCTGGTCTTGCCTGGAATGTTTCCACATCATCCCAATATTTGACAAAATCTTTATACATTAAAATTCCATGGACTTTATCAAAGTTTTCACGATAGTCATATTTGGAAGGATCCATCATAGAGTGGTACACTGAAAATTAAAAAAAAGGTCTGTTTTACACTTTATAATGTTTTAACATTAACAATAACTATGTATATTGAGGTCCCTCTAGGTGTCTAGCACTTCTTAGCTGGTGCACATAGGGGGTAAAAGCACACTAAAGTTGTAGATGATATAGTCTTGGTGCTTGAAGAGTTTCTACTACTATTAGGAAGATAAGTCTAACATAAAAAAGAATTTACAAGTCATTTTAAAGTAAAATGCTTAAAACTAAGTAAAAATGTGGGATATAAATAGTACATTTTATAGTGAATTAAAACAACAGAACATTCGGTTTCTGTGAAAATTGATGGGGCATGTAAAAAAACTAAGAGTAGTCTCTTGGAAGTAATTCTTTTAGCTACTTAATGTATTTCCTTTAATATAGAAAATGTCAATCCTTGAGAGATGCATTGTAAAGTGAAAATAAAATTAGTAGTTACTGTAACAAGTGGATTAATCCAAAATATCTCATGGTAAAATTTAGAAGATAAATGTCCTGGAAATCAAACCAAGTGATGAAGCCACTGACTTATACTGATGGTTTCTTCTGGTAGTGTTTTCCCCATTACGTTTCTAGGCTACACACTAGAGATGAAAACTCACAGATGTTGCCTCCTAAAACTTCCTCACGACACCTAGCACTAAATCTCATTGGTTCCATCTCCATTATCTTTCTCTCTTCTCCATCTTTATGGTCACTGCTCTAATTGATCAAATATGAAAATAGCATTTAAGCTGGCCTTCCTGAAAAAAATGTACCTCCTCTTCCTATAATCACAAGGAGAAGGAAAATGATGTTAGTTATTAGTCATTCAGTTTGTACTAGACTTGGAAAGTTTTACCTTACCATAATATTTACATGTCACAAAATTCTATTTTTTAAAAAAAGCAGACATCATATCAATCAGGTTAAGTTTGTCCAGCACCAATTCCTTGAAGGCAAAAATATTTGTCTTACTCAAGGAAGGATAAATATGCACACATTTATTCATACATGTAAACATGTACATATGAACATCATTATTTTTAAACTGATAGCACATGATTGTTGAAAAATTAAACAATAAAGAAAAAAATGAAATTGCCCTCCTTAATCTACTCCCAAGGAATGATAATTGCTCTAAATAGTATTGTATTCATACTTCCAAATATTTAAGAACATGTAAAATTTATACACATGTATATAACTTAATTCGTATTATATTTTACATTCATTTCATAATCTATCTTTTCATCAAACTCTACAATATGAATATATGTTAGTGTTGATACATAAATACTGTTTTTATTGCTATAAATGACACCTAGTTCATAGTATGAATGTACCCACAGCTGATGCATTTTTTTATTGTTTTTTCCAATTATCTTTCTATATCAGTAATGCTGCAATGAATGTCTTTGAGTGTGGAGTATGCATAAAGCAAATGTACTTCACAGGGCCTGGTTTTCCAAAGCCTTGCAGTTTCAAATATTGAACTTGCAAAGAACAGAAAATTTTCCCCAGGCTATAGTCTCTGTTGTAAGATAAAGAATTGTAACACAACAAGGTTGCTGGCTCAAAGACAGACAGGTTACTGATTGATCTGTAAAGATACTGGGAAATTGCTGTAAGAAGAGAATGTTTGCTAAAATCAAGCTTTTGTTGCAAATTGCATTAAGGAATGTCACCTCGCCTGTCTTACTGAATGTTACCAGCTTCTGTTGTTAAACTTGTTAAACTATACTTAGCAAAAACCCCACCTATGTTCTCTTCCTGAAACTTCCTGGTATGGAGAATAAATGTGGGAAGAGAACCCCAATTCATGGTTAATTTCCCAAATGGAAGGAATGCCTCTATCTTGAGGGTTCCAGGAGATTAACCTCTTTTCGGGGCTTCTCACTGCTCAGAAGAGATGGGCTTTGAGTTATCTTTGGTAGCTCTGGCACCCAGGGGAAAAGGGCTGACAAATCCGTGGGAGGCAAAGCAACATTTGAGCATGTCTTTGCACACTTATCTTTGTAGTGCCATGGAATTGCTGAAATAAAAGTTATGCACATGTAAGATATTGATAATTTTTTTTGATAAATCACTAAAAGATAGTAGAAGTTTGCACAGCATATAAAATTGTCTGTTTCTCACATCCTCACCAATATTTAAAAGTATTTGTTGTAATCTTTCAGAATCTGAAATTGTTTTAAAATATTTTTTTAAATATGCATTTTATACATACCTTATAATTTTCCACATTTCGTATTCCGTATGTTTATTGGTTATTTTATTCATTTTGGTCCATTGTGCTCATATGGAGTTTTGCCTTTTTCTAACTGATTTATAGCTAAAAATTTATTAATGACTTATCTATTGAGAAAATCAATCATTTTTCTGTAATATTGGAATTCTTTTAGCTTTCTAGTGGTATTATATAGAAGTTTATTATTCATATGATCAAATGTGTCAGATTTTTTCTTTATACTTTGCATTTACCTAAATGTTTATCTGTGCTTATATAATGAGAAAAACATATGTTTTAAAATTTACATTTTTTATTAATTCAGGCAATTAATGTGTACATAGCAGAGAATATATTAAGACATTGGGCTATAGAGTAGAACATCTTGGTTTAAATCTTACCTCTCCTGTTGAAATCATATTATCTTGGCAAATTATTTTAGGTATACTGTACTTCATTTTTTCATCTACAATTTCAGAATATAGTAATTATAATACTTATCTAAAACAGTTATTGGAATTTGAATGAGAGAAGAAGGCTTGTCGATTGTAATGTTTAATAAGCATGAGCTTGTACACTCTGGACTCTTTCAGTTAGTAACAGCACACAGTGCAGGGAGAAAATTTGTGTTGTCAAAAATTCTCAAGAATGTACTTCTTAAAATAATATTTTCTAGAAAAACTCATAGTCAATAATCTGTTTTCTCACTGGAGAGGGTAAAATTTATAGATATCCCATGTAACTTGTTGCCACTGTGTTTCTCTAAAGTTCTCTGGAACAACCCAATATGACATTCATTTCAATTTGACCCCAGATTACACACCAGAAGAGAGACATAATGAAAGAGCTTTTCATTTGTTTGTTTGTTTTTAGTTTTTATTACACATACGTGTGGGATACAATGTTGATTTTCAATAAATGTGTAGAATGTGTGGTGGTTAGATCAGCATAGTTAGCTTATTCATCATTACCACACACAATCATTTTTTTGTGTCCGTCGACAAATTCCTCATTAGCCCCCCTCCCCTCCCCTTTTCCACCTCTAGTTTTCTGAAAGTTCAATGTGTTACTGTGATTGTTGTTTCTTTCTTTCTCTCTCTCTGTCTCTCTTTATTGCTCAATTGTTTATTTATGGATTCAGCTCCCAGTTATAAGTGAGAAAGTGCAGTATTTCTCTTCCTGTACCTGGGTTGTTCCACTTAGAATAATTTTCTCCAGGCTCATCCATGTTGCTGCAAATGTTTGTTTTTAACCAAAGAATGGTTTAACATGTGTTTTGGAAACCATGAAACAACACTAGTCAAGGATGTTCTTTGCAACATGGAAGGAAATCCCAGTCCCTGAGAGCAATCTCAACTCTTTAAAAACCTCCTTCTCAGGCATATCAGATGCAATCACACCAAAATTATGAGATTTCTATTCCCAAAACAGAAATCAGTCTTGTCAGTAAATCAACTTGTTCCCCAAACTTTGTCCTTGCTCTTAGAAATATATCTCTCACTAAGTAAAAAGGCACCAGTTGCCCTGCCTGTTGATTTGTTTATTCATGTGAATTACTTTCTTGGGGTTCAGCCACCTTTGTAAGAATTGTCTGTAGTCAACTGAGAGTAGCTGATTTATCATGAAGTGGTTGCTGACTTCTAACTGCCCCTTAATGGTTAATTTTGGACTTGGAGGTAGACTAGGTGGCATGTAATAAAATATCTTTTCTTTTTCATTTATTTTGGTAAATTGTCTCATATCACAATGTATGGATTCACTTTCTAGCTGTTCTCTCATTCTAAACAGACATATATCAGTTTGAAATTGTCAATTTCATTTCCTAACTGAGTATGTAGGTCATATTTTTAGCAATTTTTGTTTATGTTTTTGGTAAGAAACACCAAGAAAAAAAAATTGTTAAAAATGTGAATTCAATTAAATTCAGAAAGATTTTTTTTCTTCTTTTATCTTTTTTTTCTTCCTTCTTTTCTCACTGTCTTCATCTTTTTCTTCATCCTTCTCTCCTTCATCCTCCAACCTGCCTTTTATCCAGAAAATACTAAGCGTGAATGCCTAACCTGTTCTGAGGCACTGTGGCAAATGCTGGAATGCTATGGTAAGTATAGATGCATTGAATTCCATAGTCCTCACCCTGCTAGACTTGGATTTGGGTAAAGTGGCTGAAAACAGAGGCTATCCTTTTACACATCTTTCTATTCCAGGTCCCAGTGTTATGACACAACGTAGATACTCAGAAATATTTGTTAAATTTAAAATAATTAAAGATCAAGTCTCTCTGGGCTATGTAGTTTCTACGAAAAAATACTAGATAAAATAGGCAATATCCTACCAATGACCTACCTGTCAATGACTTACTGAGGAATTTAGATTTCTACTGTATTTATCTAAGTTTCTTACATAAAAGTAATAGTAATATTTTCAAAGTCTGATTATAATAGACTGTTTCTGATATCTTTCACAGGAGCATACACAAGACTAGAAGTCACTCTCCATTCTACCTGTTTCTACCCTGCTTGATTTATTTTCTCATCATTAAAATGGAGAAAACTTTCAGTGTACAGTACTCACAAGACAGCTACAATGCTATAACTTTATGTTAAAGCTCTTTAAACAGCAAAACACTATGTAAATGCCGGATATTATTTTTAATAGGACACAAGTAATTTTAAAAGGCTTTAAATACTTTACGTTATAAATTAACTAAAATATCAATAAAGGATTTATTCTCCTTATATTTCCTTTTTTAATAGATGTGTGATATATAATTTGCATCCTATATTTTCTATATCTAAAATACAATTAATAATGACAGTAATAAAAAAGTACAACCTGTCCAGATGATCCTGTGAAAGAAATTGAATGATCTTGTTTAGTTCTCTTCAAATGCCAATGCAGGTTTTAAGCTGGAAAAAAAAGATGAGAACCACTTGTGCATTTGGAATGTTTCTGGTGAGTTTTTATTGTGAATGTCAGAGAAGGAGGCGGAGATTAATTTGTGTGGCTCGGTTTTGTGGAGTCTGTGATGCAATGAATTAACATAGATATGAATACATACCTTCAGATATGTTTAGCCACACAAAATCATGCTTATTTATGCAGAGATGTGAAAAGCCTCTGCTGTTATTTTTTTATTCTTTGGCTTATAATCAAATTCCTGAATATGGCAATAGCCATCAGGGGGTTGAGGAGAGGGACAGAGAAGAAGTAATGGAGAAGATAAGAGAGAAGAGGCCTAAAGTGAAACACAAAAGGCATTGGAAAGGGGAAGTCTCTTGCGCATTCACTGCTAAATAATAGCAAGGGTAGGTTGATCTTCAAGAGAATAAACTTACAAGAGTGAGAGGAGAGAAAGAAACGACAGGGCAGAACTAAGAGGGCAGCGAGGATGCTGGGTCAGGAGACCTAGTTCAGTACACTGAGACCTACCAACGAAGGCTTTGCGGTACTTGGTTGTGTCCTAACAAGTCAATTGGAAAACACCTTCTATTGAAAAATCTTTGCCTTTAACTCTTAAGCAGCCTTGAAAATAACACACAGCTGAAGATTACAGCTAAAGAGAGAATGAAAACATCACTTACTTTTGGATTATTACTTTAGAAACCTCACTTCTCTCCACTCCCAAAGGAATTTCCAGGTAAAGATAGCTATTGACACTGTTGAAATTCAGACAGAAGACTGAGAAAAATAATGGCCAAGGGCCTGTGGAATCCATGAATCCTTCACCTTTCTTCTCATGTCTCTGTCCCTGCTCTCTTTTCAGATAAGGAAAATCTCCCTTGTTTTCACCCCTCCATCCCCATCAATACCTTCCACCCAATTAGTTCCAACCCTGGTTAGTGCTCATTTGCCTCTCAATTCTAATTAGATTGTACTTCCTTTGAGAGACTTTGCTTGACTCTTACAAAACTGGATGTTTCTCCAGTGACTGCCTAACATTGTACATTCTCCTAAAGATCACTTATTCCCTAGTGCTGTGATTAAGATTTACTTGTTCTGCTTCCTTATTAGACTGAAAATACCTTGATAATAGGGTCTTCCTTTGTAATTAGCACAGGGCCAGTAGGGTAGATATTGAATATGTACTTACTGAATGAAAGTGGCTGATGTGTTCATGAAAAATAAAAAGTTAAGGGAACCATAGTTGTTATACAAGGCAATATTATTCAGCCTTACCCAAAGTAAAAAGAGTTAAGTGGTTTCTGAGAAATAAGATTTTCATAATAGAAAATCAAGGTACAGAAACTATAACCAGGGACTCAAATTTAGATTTTGATATTATTTGCTTTTATGCAGTTGGTCATTTTATTTTAGTTAAATAAAATGCATTTTAAACACGCTTCATCATTAAATACACAAATTTAATACAAACCATAATTATTAACACTGTGACATAGCTTTACTTTCATTTTTTTAATAATAAGGATCTATGAAGTTTCCTTTATTGTTTAGTAAAAGAAAATGTAATCGTAAAAGGAAAGATATGAACACAAGCTAATCCAAACAGTTTTAACCTTCAAGCCATCTCTCCTTCGCTCATAAATGATTGGCTGTGGGGATGTTATAAATTATCTTACTCATTTGATAAACACTGACAAGCACTGAGGTTCAATACATATTCAGTTTTAGAAAATCATCTGAATGATAAGGATTCCCTTGCTGATAAAAATAAAATAATAAGCAAGATGATCCTGAAAATGTACTTATTATTCTCTATGTTACACAGTATAGGTACACAGATTGATAGACAGGGTTGGTACAAAGGGAGTTACAAAATGTTTGTCAATGATATGTACACCTCCTTTGTACACCCAATCTAAAAGAGCATCTTGAAAATGTTTATCTGGACCCTTGCTTGGCAGATATGTCACAATACTGCTGTCATACTCCAAAACACTGAGAACAAACATGGAGCTGGCATATCTGTATGACAAAAATGTTCTCAAGACAATAACTGTTCCTTATTTGTTACTATTGGGCTTTTTCTCTCCTTCTGCGTCACACATTTACTTCATTTGTATCAATTTTGAGGGCCCAAGAATCCATTTTATGAATGACAAAATTTTATACTGATAGTTTATAAATAAGTGACATTGTAACTGAGTTTTGAAAATTATTATTAATAGACTATGTTTCAGGACAGTTTAATGTTTACTAAAAATTTGAGCAAATAGTACATAGAGGTCTTGTACAGTTCTCCCTTATCCAGTTCCTTCTACCCTGTATAGTTTCCCCTATTATTAACATCTTGCATTAGTGTGGTACATTTATTACAATTGAAGAACTAATAATGATACATTAGTATTAACTAAAGTTCATAGTTTACATTGTTTCACTCTTTGTTACATACAAACAAAGGGTGTTGACAAATGCATAATGTCATACATTCACCATTACAGTATCATGTAGAGTAGTTTCACTGCCCTAAACATCCCTTGTGCTCAATCTATTTATTCTGCCTCTCCTCACCTGAACACCTAGCAACCACGGATCTTTTGTCTCTCTATAGTTTTGTCTTTTCCACAAAGTCATGTAGTTGAACTCAAACAGTATTTAGCTTTTTAAGATTAGCTTCTTTTACTTAACAATATGCATTCCAGATTCCTCTGTGTCTGTTGGTGACTGGATAACTCATTTCTTTTTATTCTTGAATGATATCCTATTGCATGGATGTACCACAGTTTGTTTATGTTTATCATTCACCTATTAGAGGTCATATTTGTTACTTCCAATATTTGACAATTAGGAATAGAAAGGCTATAAATATTCACATGCAGTTTTCTGTGTGAAAATAAGTTTTCACTTCACCTGGGTGAATACTTAGGTGTGTGATTGCCAGATGGTACAGTAAGGCAATATTTAGCTTTGTAAAAAGCTGCTGCTGCCAAACTGTCTTCTAAATTGGTTATGACATTTTGCATTCCCAATAGCAATGAATAAGCATCCCCGTTGCTCCATATCCTTGCCAGTGTTTGGTATTGTGAAATTTTTTGATATCATCTGATCGAGTACTAGTCTGTGTTTAATGTTTGCTGTAGCTGTAGTGTCATAGGCTTCGAGTTTCTCTAGTGTCCTTGTTTTTGACTTCTCTGTTGTCTTTGGGTTTCCCTAGAAACTTGTTAAATACACTCTAATCCTTGAAGTTAGTTTAGCTGTACACCACTATTATTATACAGAAGCACGCTTGCAATATTGGAAAGGTACTGGGAGTGGGGAGGTGGGGAAAATATAATTTTGTGATTAAGTCTCAGTCTTTTTACGAGTCTGTGTTCTTGGGCTATGACCTTCACAAGTGCTTCTCATGTCCTCTCTTCCTCCTTCCCACCTTCCTGAAACAGGAAGGCTAGAGGAGCCTGTAATTGGACAAGTCCCGGTGGTCTTTTTTCTTAGTGGGCAGGACTTTGTTGTGGATAACTCTCTAGGTTTATTTCAAAATGGTTGTCTTCATTCCACCCCCTTGCCTGAAACACAGGAGATTTTTTTCTGTTTTTCACTGTGATAAGTCGATGAGGCTCCTGGAAGTAAGGCTCACAAAAAATGTGAAGACTTTCTAGGACTGGATTCCCAAGAGTTTTTAATTTTCAAGATAATTCGCACATAGCTTCCAGTGTTTTATGAATTGCCGTTTGATTGTTCCTACCAGTTATTGGCTCCAATGGCTTCTGCTGTTTGTTCTCATTCTATGTATTCTACTGTCTCTTCAGTTTTGGGTGCTGTGGTTCACCTTGTGACTTCAGTTCTCTGAAGGATCTTAAGAAATTTGTTGATTTTCAGTTTTTTCAGCTCTTTTCTTATTGTAAAGACAGGAGTGAAAACTTACATGCTCTTCATATGTCAGACCTGAAACTGGAAGTCTGACTGTAATTTAGTGCATCTGTATAGCTTCAGATTTAATATCTCATAAGCCTAAAAAGTAAAAGTAACTAAACAGTCATCTCTTACTCATGAAAGTCTTATTAGAAAAGAAATCAAGGCCCTGTGATCATTTGCAGATAATTACTCTCTTTTTAAGAGAGAGTTTCTGGCCTGCCACTGGGCCTTAATAGAAACTGAATGCTTGACCATGGGCCACCAAGTTACCATGCAATCTGAACTTCCCATCAAAAAATGAGTGTTAGCAGACCCATTAAGCCATAAATTGGGGCATGCACAGGAACACTCCATCATCAAATGGAAGTAGTATACATGTGATTAGGCCTGAGCAGGCCCTGAAAGCACAAGTAAGTTATACAAGGAGTGGCTCAAATGCCCATGGTTCCCACTCCTGCTACACTGCCTTCTCTCTTCCAGCATGCACCTATGGCCTCAGAGGGATTTTTCTGTGCTTAGTTGACTAGGGAAGAGAAGACATGAACCTGGTTTATAGATGCTACTGCACGATATATATGCAAGTACCACCTGAAAGTGGACAGCTGTAGCACTACGGTCCCTTTCTGGGACATCCTTGATGGACAGTGATAAAGTGAAATCCTCCCAGTAGGCAGAAATTTAGGCAGTATACCTGGTTGTGCACTTTTCTTAGAAGGAAAAATGGCTAGATGTGCAATTATACACCAATTCATGGGTTGTAGCCAATGTAGCAATGTGAATGCTCCCCATAGTGTGATCTTAGCCAAGGAGGATTTTAATAATCAAGTGGATGAGATAACCAGCCAGCCTCTTTTCCCAACCACTCCTGTCATCACCCAACAGGCTCATAAATAAAGTGGCCATGGTGGTAAGGATAGAGCTTATGCATGGGCTCAGCAACATGGACCTCCACTCACCAAGGTCTATCCTGTTACAGCCATTGCTAAGTGCCCAATGTTCCAGCAACAGAAACCAACACTGAACCCCTGATACAGCACCTTTCCCAGGGGTGATCAACCAGCTACCTGGTGGCAGGTTGATTA